GACTGACGGCACTGCGATGGTGTGTGTGTGTGTGAGGGCTGGTGTGGAGTTGCCGGCCAGGATGAGGACCGTGGCGATGCTTTTCCCGCCTGTCGTTTGTTTCTCCCGTGTGTTTGTGCTGCTTCCTGCTTTTCCCCCTTTTCTCCTGCTGTGTTCCTGCGTGGAGTGGCCGCATGCTCACGGGCCATGTTGATTGTAAGTGCCTCTTGACGGCGTCCATTCATCTCTCTCTGTCTGTCTGTCTGTCATTCCCTGCTGGGTGTGGCGTGTTGCACCGCGTGAGGGCTGGCCCGCACACACCGACGGCCCGCCGTGACCTGCCGTGTTGCTGCTCTTTTCTGTGGGCGGTGGTTCTCCGTGCTGTTCCTTACGGGTTTTCTCGAGCCCCGCTCTTTGCGTGGGTGCTCTGCTCTGCTCCTCACTGACGTGTCTGATGTATTGCCGCTGTTGCTGTCTTTCCATTTCTTGCAAACAGACACGCTAGGAAAGAAAGCAAGCGAACGCTAATCGCTACTGTGAAATTCGAAGGCTCTGAAATTTCCAACAACAGCACACACACACACACCGTCCGCACGCATATTTACATGCTCTCACGTGTTGCTGCAGTCATGGCGCCCCGCACACACAACCGTTGCCGCGTGACCGGATCCAGGGGCAGGAGGAGGGAATGAAGAGAGAGTGAGCCGCAGAGGCCCAGCATGTCCCGGCGTGTGTTTACTTCCGCTGTGCTGCTCCTCCTCTTCGTTATGATGTGCTGCGGCCCCTGTGATGCCGCAGACGTTGTGAAGAGTAATTCGGGATATGCGCAATTGCCTCATACGGTCGATCTATTTGTGCCGCGGACGACGCAGGTGCTGCCGAAAGAGGAGACTGGCTCAATTCGGAGGGATTCATTTGTTTCACCCTCTCTCGTCAGTGCTGGTGGAGTAATTGCTGCTTTTGCCGAGGGTCGCGTGTATCGCGAACATCCCGTTGAACGTAATAAAATTATTGAGCCCATTTCTTCTGATGTTGTTGCGGAGTACATCGACTCCTCGTGGAATTGGTCCACTCTTGTTGGCAAGGTGAGTGAAAGTACATGGAAGACAAACACTGTGCTTGGTACAACAAATGGAACGGATGATCGTGTGGAGATTTTTTACCACCCCACAACCACCACGAAGGGCAATAAGGTGTTTCTTCTTGCGGGAAGCCTTGGTGGGCTCAAGGAAAGTGATGGGAGGAGGAAATGGGACAACCTGGGTCTGAAACTGGTTGTGGGTGATGTCACGAGGCCTACGAGCAGCGAGCCGACTGGAAGTATCAAATGGGACCAAATCAGGTCTCTGTTGAACGAGAGTACTATAGCTGCTCACGAAGGTAAATTGAAAAAGTTTATTGCCGCTGGTGGCTCAGGTGTTCTGATGGAGGATGGCATCGTTGTGTTTCCACTGATGGCGGAGAGCGGAAATGGTGACTTTTGCTCCATGATCATTTACTCGGCGGACAACGGCAGTACCTGGTCGCTTTCGAAGGGTGTTTCCCCTGCGAAATGCCACAACCCCCGCATCACCGAGTGGGAGGGATCACTTCTCATGATTGTTGACTGCGAGGATGAACAGAGGGTGTACGAGTCGCGTGACATGGGGACAACGTGGACGGAGGCTGTCGGGACACTCCCAGGCGTGTGGGTCAAATCAAGATCATTCTTTTGGGATCTGAGCTTGCACGTGGAAGCCCTCATCACCGCGACCATTGAGGGCAGGAAGGTCATGCTGTACATTCAGAGAGGGAACTTCTCGGGGAAGAATAAGGCCAATCCGCTCTACCTTTGGGTCACGGACAACAACCGCTCGTTTTATTTTGGACCGCTTGCCGTGGAGGAGGCTGCTGTGAGGTGGGAGTTCGCCAGCGGCCTGCTGTACTCGGATGGCAATTTGCATCTTTTACAACAGAGGGGCAGTAGTGAACACAGTGTCATTTCACTTTCCCACTTGGCGGAGGAACTGAGTACAATCAAGTCTGTTCTGAAGACCTGGGCGCAAAATGACGCCTTTTTCTCCAACTTGTCTATACCCACGGCGGGTCTGGTGGCGGTATTGTCCAACGCATCGGCCAACAACGGCACGTGGAACGACGATTACCTTTGCCTGAATGCGACGGTGACGAACGCCACGAAGGTCGAGGATGGATTGAAATTGACGGAGCCTGACTCCGGGGTAATTTGGCCCGTGAGCATTCCGGATGATAATGTGCGTCATGTATCCTTGAACCGCAACTTCACACTTGTGGCGTCGGTGACCATCGAAAAGACTCCGAGTGAGGACGCTCCTCTACTGGGTGCGATTTTGGGGGACACTAATTCCTCGCATACCATGGGAATCTTGTACACCGCGGATAGAAAGTGGATGACGATGTTCAAATACGAAAAGACAACAAAAAGTGACGCTTGGGAGTCGGGGAAAGAATACCAAGTGGCACTCATGCTGCAAGGCAACAAGAGCTCTGTGTACATTGATGGCAAGTCGCTGGGGGAAGAGGAGACGATGGTAACAGGTGAGACGCCACTTGAGCTCGCAGGCTTTTGCTTTGGCGCGTGCGGTATGAAAAACTCTCCTGTGACTGTGAAGAACGTCTTTCTGTACAACCGCCCACTGAATCCCACTGAGATGACTGCAATCAAGGACAGGAAACCCGTTCCAAAGAGAGCTCCGGAACCACAAGCGAGAGGTGTTTCTCAAACCATCGCATCTGCTGTGTCTGCTGTGTCTGGCCCAGAGAAAAATGCAGCAGCTTCAACGGTGCCAATGACATTGAACCCCCATGCAGTTGAAGAAGTGAGTGAGGGTGGAGCGGCAAGGAGGAATACCTCTCGGACTGAGGATGTGCAATTTGTTGTGCCAGAGGTGAGCTTGAATTCTGCTGGGAGCGGACTGCTGCCTCTTTTTCTGCTGTTGGGGCTCTGGGGGTTTGCGGCTCTGTGAGGAGTGTGCGGCCTCAGTGTGGGACACTTGTGCCGTTCCCTGCAGGACACACACACACCGCTAGGAATATATTTTACTTCGTGGAGAATAATTTGTTTTTGTTGTCTTTTAATGTTTTCCATTTTCCCCTTGCTGCTTTAGGGCAACCACGGACTTTTTCTTTTTTTGGCTTTTAATTGTTTTTCTTTTCTGTTCGGAGTATAATTTCTTACGTTTTTTATGTTTGTTTCTAAAAAAATTAATTTTTTTTATTTTGCTCCACTCTTCCCTTTTTTTTTCTTTTTGGGGCAATCACTATGGACGTTTTTCTTTTCTACTCTTCCCTCTTTTAATTGTTTGTTGCTGCACTCTTCCTGCGAGGGGTGCCGTGTGTTTCCCGCCCAACTGCTCCACTCGCACACCCACCGACACGCTCATGACGACGGCCCTGTGCGCCTCGCCTGCTGCACGCATGAGGAGGGGCCGCGACGAACGGCGCGCTGAGGGAGCCGTGACGTGTGGGCGTGCGGCGAGGGCCTGTGGGGCGGAGCACACATTTCTTCCCTCTTGTTTTGTTTTCTTTGCGGCCAGGGCGGGCAGACACCCGCAGCGCCACACACACACAGCCACACCCTGCCGCCGTGTTTTTCTTTTGTTTTGTTTTCTTCTTTTTGTGTGAGCTACCACCATGCGTGATTGTTGATGTCGGGGCCGTGCCGCATGTATCGCTGCCATCCAGCTGTGCCTCTTGCTTTGTTGATTTGCCTCTCTGTGCTCCTTTTCCCTTCTGCTCCTCCAGCACACCCACACACAAAAGATATTGCACAGTGCTCTGCAAGAATGTATTTTCACTTCCGGTTGATGGCGTTGCCTGCTCGTTGTGTGCTGACGCGTGACGGACTGTGCCACGGTGGCCTCCTCTGGCGATGACAGTCGCTGTGCTCTCGACAGACATCCGCACACTCCTCCCTCTCTGTGAGAGTGATTGCAGCAGGAGCGTGGTCTACGGCAGCGGCAGCTGGTGCTGTGGAGGAGGACGGGGCGCCGAAGGAAGGAGGAATAAGAGGCCGAACCCGCTGGATGAGCTGCCGCTGATCCCGTTCTTGCTGGAAGGGTTAAACCGCGATTACAGCCACACGGACACCCGCACGGTTGCTGCGCCGTACTTCTTCCAGCACTGCGGTGCCGCCGGCCACATGTCTTTTTGGTGCCACAAGCACAAGGACAACAGGCTGCAGCACATGACGGCCAACCTGATCCACGTGTGGTTGCAGCACATGTAGCACGTGCGCGTGTATTTGTTGGGTGTTGCGCTCGTGATTGTGGAGGATAGGCGGCACGACATTGTGGCGCTGTGTGTGTTGCGCGGCCGGGGCATGGCGGCGATTGTGGAGGACACGGAGCTGCTTGACTGAGGGAGGAGGTGGCGGACGTTGCGGCGCAGCGGGAGCGCATGACGGACTGCGTGTGGTGGAGGGGCACGTGTTGAGGTGAGCGTGGCGCGCCTGTGAGGGTCTGAGGAGAGGGAATAACAGTGATGGTGACTTTGTGAGCGTGAGGAACGGGGCAAGAGCGGGGAGCGCTCCTCTTTTGTTTTTATTGTTGTTGAGCGGCGTTCACCTAACTGTTGTTGTTGTGGTGCGTTACTCTCATAGCTGAATGGGACGGTGCGTGGTTGTGTGACATGTCTCTCTTTCTTTTGCTTTCACTCTGCGTTGACGGGGAGTTAGTTTCTGCTGAAGGCTACGCACAGGTGACAGGAGTGATGGCGATGATGACTGGCCGTGTGCTGCTGGTGTGTGCCCTCTGCGTGCTGTGGTGCGGTGTTAGTGTGGTGGCGGCCGATGTTGCTGGCGGAGGTGATGGCGGTGCGGATGAGTATTTTGTTTTGCGGTGGCACGCTCAGCTGCGGAGGGAATGCGCGGAGGCGTTCGGCAGGAGGACAGAAGGCAGGAAGGATGCTTTCGCCGTTGATGATTGCGTGCGTCGGGGGATGGACGGTGTGCGTGCGTTTGGGGATGGCCGTCGCGTCTGGAGACGTCAGCGTTCTGCGGTGGTTGCTGGCGATGATACCACCGATGATGACAGCACCCGCGGATCCTCCTCGGAAGTACAGGCAGAGACGGATACTGATTCGTTGGACGGACCACTGAAACCATCGGTGAAGCCAATTCCGGGAGAGGTACCAGATGGACAGGAGTCAGGAAAACTTTCAGAGGCTTCTGAGCCGACGATAAACGGAACTGGAGGGAATTTAGATGGTGAAGGAGAGGAAGGGGACGTGAGTCAGGATGAACGCCAAGACGACAATGATGTTAAAGACGAGGTTGTTGACGCCGCACCGGGAAATGGAGACAGCGAAACTTCAAATAAAGGACACGAAGAAGAGAAGGAAAGGGTCAAGGAGGAAAAAGCAGGAAGCACGACAAAAGAACGAGAAGGAGATGAAAACAACGCTGCCGGCCGTGGACCTGCTCAAGGAGCCGCAGCTTCTCGGCCTCCTTCACCCGTTGACGTCAGTAATCCTCAAAATCCCGTGTTGGACCAGGACGGCGCTGGAGGAGAAAGAGGGGGTGCCGGTCCAGTGGTGCTGCCACAAGCAGCAGGATTACGAGAGGCGGAGGGGGCACCAGCGAAATTGGCTCCCGGAGGAGATGCAGCCGGAAAAGAAACAGAGAGGCAAAACGGAACGGCGGAGCAGGTGGCTACAAAGGAAGTGCAAACAGCCGTCGAAGATAGTTCAGCAGAAGCAGCAGCAGCGGGAAAAGAATCCAAGGGAGAAAAAGAAGGAGAAAACGTAAGCGAGGCGGAAAAGGAAGGATCGCATGGAAATGTTGACGAAGAAGCAGCGGGAAAGAACGGAGGAAATGCGACAAAGAAACTACAAAAGGAAGCCACGGACGAGGCAAAGACAAAAAAACGAAACGAGAAGAAGGAGGCGGAAAATGCAAATAATACCAAAGAAGAACCCGACGAAGAAGAAGTCAAAAAAGCCACTCAAGAAGAAGAAGCAGCAGACAAAGAAAACACGACCTCAGCCCGAATCCTTACCAAAATCAATACGGCGACACCTGACAACAGTGACGGCAGCACCGCGGTCTCGCACACCACCTCCCCTCTTTTGCTTCTTCTTCTTGTTGCGTGTGCGGCTGCGGCTGCGGTGGTGGCCGCGTGAGAGTGAGGGAGAGAGAGCCATGCACCGCCCGCACACACTCTTCCTTCTCTCTGTGTGTGTCCCCTTGCATGGACTCTCGCCCTCACCTCACCCCACGAGGCACACACAATAATGTGCCCATTGTATATATGCATGCACACCCATGCGGGCCCGTTGGTGCTCTCTTCTGCACGACACGCACCGCTGCCGTCCTGCCTGGCTGCGTGGGCGGAGCACCGTAACTGTTTCTGTTTTGTTTTTATTGCATTGAGTGGGCGACCTCTCTCTCTCTCCCTCTGTGTGCGTGTTTTGCTTTACGGGAGTAATGAGAGTGTGTGTGCGCTGGTCGTCCCACGCTTCGGCTTTTTGTTTTGTTTTTCTTTTTGATTTTGTGGTTGAGTGCACCCATTCCGCGGCTGCGTGTGTGTGTGTGTGTGTGTGATGATATGAGTAATTTGCGTGTGTACTATCTGCCTCTCTCTGCCGTTGCTTTCTTCAGACTCTCTTGTGGCGCACAGCTGCTCTGCAAGTATAGGCGCTGACAAACACACGAGCACATGCACACGCCATGTTGCGCACGCTGTGGGGCGGCGTGAACGCTGACAACGCACGCACGTACAGGATTGTGGCTGCGGAGGCCCTTGCGAGGAGGGATGACGGATGACCGCGATTTGTTTTGTTGCCGTGCTGTGAGCGTGATTTCCTAGGCTTGCTGCCCATGGGCGGCGTGGCATTTTGGTGTCTGGGATTATTGCGGATAGGCTTCAGCCCAGCAGCTGCACGGTTTGATGTGTTCCTCCCGCTGTTCGTACGCCGACGGAGGATTCTCCGGCTGTGCGGGGCGATGTGCGGGTGCGTTGGAAGAGACAAGAGTAAAACGACTGGCGGCAGCGCGTGTGTGCCGTGAAGGGCGGCTGTGTTTTTTTATCCTGCTGTTTTTTTTTTTTTTTGTGAGGGCGTTGTTCAGTGTGTGCTGACGCGTGACGAATAACGACGTGCCGGGCGTGGCTCCTGCTGCTGGTGGTGGTGGCAGTCGCTGTGTGTTCCCGCTGCATTGTTCTTCCTTCTCGTTTCATTTGTCTGCGTGCGTGAGTTGTTGTTGAGGGTGACTGCGGCAGGGATGATGATGATGCCACTCACTGTGGACGCTAGCGGTGTTCACTGTTTCACTCCTTTTTCTTAACTTCTCTCTCTCTTACCCACACATAAAGGAAAGAAGTTAATAACAAGCGCTAATCGCTACTGTGAGATTCTAAGGCTCTGAAAGGACCAACAGTACACACACCACCCACACACACACATTTATATGCTCTCACGTGTTGCTGCAGTGAAGGCACCCCGCACACACAACCGTTGCCGCGTGACCGGATCCAGGGGCAGGAGGAGGGAAGGAAGAGAGAGTGAGCCGCAGAGGCCCAACATGTCCCGGCGTGTGTTCGCTTCCGCTGTGCTGCTCCTTCTCGTCGTGATGGTGTGGTGCGGCTGTGGAGGTGCACACGCTGTGGAGAACAATTCAAGTATTGCCATTAATCCATTTACAGGGACGACAAGGATAGATGCTACTTGGAAGGACGTTGAGATCAATACCAAAAGTGCTTCGCTTCACGGTCCCACTCTTGTTGAGGTGCAGGGTCATGTATTTGCTATTGCTGAAGTCCATTGCAAGGATGGAGGCGACTGCAGCGACGTCAGCTTTACTGGGATTGCGTCAAAGTACCTTGGTTTAAATGTTGTTGCTGATTCAACGGAGATCTCGACGGCAGATGCGAGCATCTTTGGCGCAGATCTTCTAAAGGAAGGGTATGAGGGTATCAGCGCCACAAACGGCATAACGCGACCAACGACGCTTGTAATTGAGGACAGTGTGTACATGCTCCTGGGAAAGCAAAGCCATACAAAGAAACAGGTTGAACGCACGAATGAGGGGGGCCTTTTCCTCGTGAAGGGAACTGTCTCTGATGAGGGCGAAAAGAAGAAAATCAGATGGAATGAGACCCATTTGGTGAACCCTCAAGGCAAAGCAGCATCTCTTTCCTTGACCGAGTTAATTGGCGGTGGAGGATCGGGTGCTGTGATGCGTGACGGCACGCTTGTGTTTCCCATGCAGGCCAAAGGCAAGGATGGAGAGAGCGTTTTACTGTCCATACGTCTCCCCAAGCAAAGGAACAAATGGGAGCTTTCATCCGAGACGCCTGGTAAGGGCTGCAGGGATCCAACCCTGGTGAAGTGGAAAGAAGACCAATACGGCGAAAGACTCTTCATGATGGCTCATTGTGCTGGAGGCTACTATGACGTTTACATGTCCACTTTGCATGGAGTCAGTTGGTATACGTTGGGTGAGTCAATTAATCGTGTGTGGGGCAACTCACATGGTCGAACAGGGTACGGCGTCCAGAGCGGATCCACCACCGCAATCATTGAGGGAAAGGAAGTGATGCTCATCACCGCGCCGGTGTATGAGAAGGAAAATGGAGAAGGTCGGCTTCATCTTTGGGTGACGGACAAGGCACGTGTGTATGATGTTGGGCCGGTATCCCGTGAAGATGATGACGCCGCCGCCAGCTCGCTGTTGATAAAAGATAATAATAATGAGTTGATTTCATTGTACGAAAACAAGAAGAGTGACGGATCATACAATCTTGTTGCTGTGCGCCTGACCGAGAAACTGGAGCGGATAAAGGAAGTGGTGAAGACATGGAAGGATTTGGACAGCGCCTTGAAAACATGCCGTTCCGGTTCAAGTGGCACTGTTGACGCGCTCAGAAAGGACATGTGCAATGGTCCTGTTCCCACTAACAGGCTTGTTGGCTTCTTGTCCGGTAACTTCTCTGAGAACACATGGAGGGACGAGTACCTCGGCGTGAATGCAAAAGTGAAGAATGGGAAGAGAAGGGTTCCCAATGGATTGACGTTCAAAGGATCATGGGCGGAGTGGCCCGTTGGCGACATGGGGCAGACTGTGCCGTACTACTTTGCAAACAACAAGTTCACTCTTGTAGCGACGGTGTCCATCCACGAGGTGCCGAAGGAAGACAGCAGCCCCGTTCCTTTGATTGGCGTGAGGATGAATGACACCAGCAGCACTGTCCTCTTTGGTCTGTCGTACACCCACGACAAGAAGTGGTTGGCCATACCGGGGAATCGTGCTGCCTCGAAGCGTGTTGATGATATTGCTAAATGGGAACCAAACAAGACGTATCAGGTGGTACTGCAAATGGATTCTGATTTTTGGACTGTCGTTGTAGATGGAAAGGAAATGCGCCACATGAAATATAATACGAGTCTGTTCAACTCGCACAGGATTTCACACTTCTACATCGGTGGGGACAGTAAGCACCAAATTGCAACGGGCGGCCACGTGACAGTTACCAACGTCATGCTGTACAACGAGGAACTGTCGGAAGATGATGTTCTGGATGAACTCCATGCCAGCAAAGTCACTATTCCATCACTGGGTGTTGAGGAACAACCCACAGGGCAGGTGGCCAACACGGACGCTTTGGTTGCTTCCGAGTCAAACAGTGAAGAAAGCGCCACCAGCCATGATGAATTGAATGAGAGTGATACTGATGAACAGGGAGACAACAGCGTCGATGATCCGGTGCCTGCAGCTTCCTCTTCCACGGTTGTCGCGGGATCATCTGTTCCTGAACCTGCCATCGCAACGGAGAGCGCAGACAATTCTCGTTCAGATGACAATGCCCAGCTTTCCGAGGAAGAAACGTCTTGGCAAGACACGCCGAATGAAGAGAATAAATCGATGCAGCGGGGTTCAGACTTGCAGCCACAAGACCCACAGTCAACGAAATTAACGGAGGTTACCGATGTTGAAATGTCCTCTGGAAGTTATGATGAAGAACTGCCAGAGGAGGATGGGGAAGCGGATGACAGGAGTGGCAAATCAACGTCTCCAGTGACTGCATCGTTGAGTATGGAAACGGCCGCCGGACCAGTGTACGGTGAGCACCAAGTGCAGAAAAGCATTGAGCTTTCCGCTGAAAATAACGACGTGCGGCCCACTGGAACCGGAACCACCGGCGCGGAGGAAAGCCTCAGCCTCGAGGCGGGGGACAGAAATTCCGAGAGAGCAATGAACTCAGACAGCAGCCTCACTCCTTCAGGGATTGACGCCGAACCGAGATCCGCGGAGGACACCGACAACATCTCTTGGACTGAGAGGGCCGAATTTTCTTCTGGAGAAGGCAAGGAGGTGCCACAGACGGTCGACACCGCACCGGCTAATACAAACACCACGCCTGGAGGCGAAGGGATCCCCTCAACAAAAGGCGCGGCACGACACTCGGACAACGACACCTTCACCGGGGAAATTGCGGAGTTGCTGTCCATGGGTCTGAACCGTGACAGCACCGTGCATGTTTGTGTGTCTCGGGTGTTGTTGCTGCTGCTTCTGGGGCTGTGGAGTATTGCGGCTCTCTGCTGAATGAATTGGGGAGAGCAAAGTTGCGAAATTCTGTGGAGCAACAACTGAGCGGCATCCCAGCATTGAACACTGAATTTTGTTAATTTCATTTTCTTCTTTTTCTTTTTGCTTTCCTTGTTTTTGTTTTCTTTTCTGTAAATCACTTCCCTTCTTTTTCTTGCTGCTTTAGGGCAATCACTATGGATTTTTTTTCTTTTCTACTATTCCCTCTTTTAATTGTTTGTTGCTGCACTCTTCCTGCGAGGGGTGCCGTGTGTTTCCCGCCCAACTGCTCCACTCGCACACCACCGACACGCTCGTGACGACGGCTCTGTGCGCCTCGCCTGCTGCACGCATGAGGAGGGGCCGCGACGAACGGCGCGCTGAAAGAGCCGTGACGTGTGGGCGCGCGACGAGGGCCTGTGGGGCGGAGCACACATTTCTTCCCTCTTGTTTGTTTTCTTTGCGGCCAGGGCGGGCAGACACCCGCAGCGCCACACACACACAGCCACACCCTGCCGCCGTGTTTTTTTTTCATTTTTTTGCTTTTATTTCACGCGCCGGCAGTGCCGTCAGCATTTCTTTTCCCGCGATGATTTTTTTTTTTTGCTGCGCTCACTCTCCCGATGAAGTGACGCGACTCCCGTCATGTCTGCGTGCTTCTCTCAGTCCCCACACACACGAGTGACTGTGCTCTGCGGGCCGCACTCACGCACCAATAAAACGGCTGAGGGGAGCAGCAGCACGCAGATGACCCCATGAAATATAAACGCTGTGCGGACACACGGAGGGTCGGACGGTTGAAAGACATTTAAACATTCAATTTTTAATGTGCGGGCAAAATATACAAACAGTTTGGTGGGCGCACACAGTAACCAGTGAAATTTTTTTTTGTGTGGTATTTCTTTCTTTATTATTATTTGTGTGTAGCCGTAATAGAGGACGACATTTTTCTTTTTTTTTTTCTTATTGTTTCCAAAGTGTGAGGTGTGGAAGGGTGAAGATCATTTTTTAAAAATTTTAATAAATTTTCTATGAATTGCCGCTGCTTTGTCTGCAGTGCAGTATCATGAGCCTGAGCAGTCTTTTTATTTCTGCCATGCACCTCTGCTGTACATTTTTTTTTGTGCGTCCCCTCACATGCTCTGCTCCTGTTTTTACTCCTTTGCTTCGTGTGTCTGCAGGCACACACAACCACATGCTCGCACAAGACGCACATTGCAGTGGATTTTGATGCTTCTTTTGTAGCGTGTGCTGGCGGTTGCGTGTGGCTGCTGCTTCCTCCGTGGGCATGAAGGGGAGGAGGAGAGAGGGAGCGCGCACCGCGAGTCACTTTTGCTGTTGGCGTGATGCACCGCCTGTGACTTCTTTGAGTTAGGCACCGAATCCCATTGTGGGTGGAATGGCTGGAAATTTTGTCGCCGCGTCATGGCTGGATGAGGATCCGCTTCCGCGTGTGGCTCTTTGGGTGATTGCTCGCTGTGCGTTGTGTGCCGGCAGCGGGCTGTGGCCGTATGCCGTTGGCCGTGGGATTTAACTGGAGGCGGTGGCGCGGTGTGTCGCTTCTCGTCCATGTTGGGTGACTGTTGGCGGTGTGTGAGTTTGTTGTGTGGAGGCCGAATCCTCTCACCCGCGGACTGACGGCACTGCGATGGTGTGTGTGTGTGAGGGCTGGTGTGGAGTTGCCGGCCAGGATGAGGACCGTGGCGATGCTTTTCCCGCCTGTCGTTTGTTTCTCCCGTGTGTTTGTGCTGCTTCCTGCTTTTCCCCCTTTTCTCCTGCTGTGTTCCTGCGTGGAGTGGCCGCATGCTCACGGGCCATGTTGATTGTAAGTGCCTCTTGACGGCGTCCATTCATCTCTCTCTCTCTGTCTGTCTGTCATTCTCTGCTGGGTGTGGCGTGTTGCACCGCGTGAGGGCTGGCCCGCACACACCGACGGCCCGCCGTGACTTGCCGTGTTGCTGCTCTTTTCTGTGGGCGGTGGTTCTCCGTGCTGTTCCTTACGGGTTTTCTCGAGCCCCGCTCTTTGCGTGGGTGCTCTGCTCTGCTCCTCACTGACGTGTCTGATGTATTGCCGCTGTTGCTGTCTTTCCATTTCTTGCACACAGACACGCTAGGAAAGAAAGCAAGCGAACGCTAATCGCTACTGTGAAATTCGAAGGCTCTGAAAGTTCCAACAACACACACACACACACCGTCCGCACGCATATTTACATGCTCTCACGTGTTGCTGCAGTCATGGCGCCCCGCACACACAACCGTTGCCGCGTGACCGGATCCAGGGGCAGGAGGAGGGAAGGAAGAGAGAGTGAGCCGCAGAGGCCCAGCATGTCCCGGCGTGTGTTTACTTCCGCTGTGCTGCTCCTCCTCTTCGTTATGATGTGCTGCGGCCCCTGTGATGCCGCAGACGTTGTGAAGAGTAATTCGGGATATGCGCAATTGCCTCATACGGTCGATCTATTTGTGCCGCGGACGACGCAGGTGCTGCCGAAAGAGGAGACTGGCTCAATTCGGAGGGATTCATTTGTTTCACCCTCTCTCGTCAGTGCTGGTGGAGTAATTGCTGCTTTTGCCGAGGGTCGCGTGTATCGCGAACATCCCGTTGAACGTAATAAAATTATTGAGCCCATTTCTTCTGATGTTGTTGCGGAGTACATCGACTCCTCGTGGGATTGGTCCACTCTTGTTGGCAAGGTGAGTGAAAGTACATGGAAGACAAACACTGTGCTTGGTACAACAAATGGAACGGATGATCGTGTGGAGATTTTTTACCACCCCACAACCACCACGAAGGGCAATAAGGTGTTTCTTCTTGCGGGAAGCCTTGGTGGGCTCAAGGAAAGTGATGGGAGGAGGAAATGGGACAACCTGGGTCTGAAACTGGTTGTGGGTGATGTCACGAGGCCTACGAGCAGCGAGCCGACTGGAAGTATCAAATGGGACCAAATCAGGTCTCTGTTGAACGAGAGTACTATAGCTGCTCACGAAGGTAAATTGAAAAAGTTTATTGCCGCTGGTGGCTCAGGTGTTCTGATGGAGGATGGCATCGTTGTGTTTCCACTGATGGCGGAGAGCGGAAATGGTGACTTTTGCTCCATGATCATTTACTCGGCGGACAACGGCAGTACCTGGTCGCTTTCGAAGGGTGTTTCCCCTGCGAAATGCCACAACCCCCGCATCACCGAGTGGGAGGGATCACTTCTCATGATTGTTGACTGCGAGGATGAACAGAGGGTGTACGAGTCGCGTGACATGGGGACAACGTGGACGGAGGCTGTCGGGACACTCCCAGGCGTGTGGGTCAAATCAAGATCATTCTTTTGGGATCTGAGCTTGCACGTGGAAGCCCTCATCACCGCGACCATTGAGGGCAGGAAGGTCATGCTGTACATTCAGAGAGGGAACTTCTCGGGGAAGAATAAGGCCAATCCGCTCTACCTTTGGGTCACGGACAACAACCGCTCGTTTTATTTTGGACCGCTTGCCGTGGAGGAGGCTGCTGTGAGGTGGGAGTTCGCCAGCGGCCTGCTGTACTCGGATGGCAATTTGCATCTTTTACAACAGAGGGGCAGTAGTGAACACAGTGTCATTTCACTTTCCCACTTGGCGGAGGAACTGAGTACAATCAAGTCTGTTCTGAAGACCTGGGCGCAAAATGACGCCTTTTTCTCCAACTTGTCTATACCCACGGCGGGTCTGGTGGCGGTATTGTCCAACGCATCGGCCAACAACGGCACGTGGAACGACGATTACCTTTGCCTGAATGCGACGGTGACGAACGCCACGAAGGTCGAGGATGGATTGAAATTGACGGAGCCTGACTCCGGGGTAATTTGGCCCGTGAGCATTCCGGATGATAATGTGCGTCATGTATCCTTGAACCGCAACTTCACACTTGTGGCGTCGGTGACCATCGAAAAGACTCCGAGTGAGGACGCTCCTCTACTGGGTGCGATTTTGGGGGACACTAATTCCTCGCATACCATGGGAATCTTGTACACCGCGGATAGAAAGTGGATGACGATGTTCAAATACGAAAAGACAACAAAAAGTGACGCTTGGGAGTCGGGGAAAGAATACCAAGTGGCACTCATGCTGCAAGGCAACAAGAGCTCTGTGTACATTGATGGCAAGTCGCTGGGGGAAGAGGAGACGATGGTAACAGGTGAGACGCCACTTGAGCTCGCAGGCTTTTGCTTTGGCGCGTGCGGTATGAAAAACTCTCCTGTGACTGTGAAGAACGTCTTTCTGTACAACCGCCCACTGAGTGTCGGTGAACTAAAAATGGTCAAGAAGAGCGACGGCAAAAAAGGAAGCGGTGACGGCAAAAAAGGAAAAGGTGACGGCAAAAAAGGAAAAGGTGACGGCTCCATGCGTGGGGGCGTGTCGCGGTTGCTGCTGCTGGGGTTTTGCGCCTTTGTGGTCCTTTACTGAGAAATCGCGGTGAGGACTTCCTGCTTCCAGCGGGAACATATGCGTCTGGCCACGCACTCTTTTAGGTAATTGCCACTTTCTGTGACGCCTTGTTTTAACCATTTTATTTCATCTGGTTTTAATTTTATTTTACATCCCCTTCGCTGTGAAGAGCTCTTCCTCCATGTGGAGGCATGCTCTCCCCAGCGCCAGCACCGCGTTTTTTCGTGTTATTTCTTTTTTTTTTTTTTTTTGTGGTCCGACAATTAATGGATCTACTCAGTGTTTTTTTCCCTCTTTTAAAGCGATCATAGGCGCTCTCGGCATTGTGTGCCACGCCGATGGCGCCGGCTAATAAAAGAGACAATGGAATGGGGGCACGAAACCACGCCGAGTGTCCCAGTGGAATATAAATAATGTGTGGGCGCCGGGGTTTAAACGACTGTAACGGGTGTATCTTATTTATTTATTTATTTTTATCTGCAGGCGAAAAAAACGCACCAGCGTGCAGTTTTTTTTGCTTTTAAGTGAATTCATAATGGAAGACGGATTTAACTTTGTTTTTTTTTTTACTTTCCAACCTGTCCCGCGGCTCGCCACAGCATGGG